TATCCCTACTGTTATATTCCTATTATTAGAGTGTGGAATTACTATCCATAGAGGTTCTATGGAACGTTTTGTTTCATTTAAGATTTTTACTTCATTTCATTCTACATTTTCGTTCACTCCTCCACCAGCACAACCTGTTCTGTCCTTCCAACATATTTTGTACCCTGGTATAATCCCATTGATTGTCCTCATTCCACCAAGTTTCTATGATGCCTAGATCCATATCCTCCTTTAATGCAAGGCACTCTAGTTCACCCACTGTATTATTTAGAATGTTAGCATTTGTGTATAAACACCTTTAAAAATTGACAATATTTTTCTGTCTGCCACTTCCTGATGTGTTTTTTATTTTATTATTTCTCATCTGATTTTACTCATATTTTATCATTTTTCATCCTCTCCGCCTTACTAGAACATAGAGAATCTCCATTAATAGACCCGCCCCTAAGAGATGTTTCTGTTCACTCTATGTGCTCCTCCGCACCTTTTGGCTTTCCGCCAGCCGTTAGTTTAAAAACTGCTCTACTAGCTTTTTAATAGAGCCCATCCTTCCTGTATAGGCTCCCCCTCTCCCAAAAGTGTCCCCACTTCCTAATAAATCGAAACCCCTCCTCCCTACACCATCATCTCATCCATGCATTAAGACTCTGAAGTTCTGCCTGCTTACCTGACCCTTCGTGGGGACCTGGAAGCATTTCAGAGAATGCTATCATAGAGGTCCTGGATTTCAATCTCTTGCCTACCAGCCTAAATTTGACCTCCAGAATCTCTCTCCTACCCTTCTTTATATCACTGGTATCTACATGTATCACGACCACCACCTCCTACCCAGCACTACACATAAGTCTAGCTAAATGTCTCGAGAGACCTGCAACCTTTGCACCAGGCAGGCAAATTACCATACAGTTCTCCTGGTCATCACAAACGCAGCTGTCTATGTTTCTAATGATTGAATCCCTCATTACTAACACCTGCCTTTTCCTAATGACTGGAGTTCCCTCCGCTAGAGAGGTATCCTCAGTCAAGAGATATCCTTAACATCATCTGGAAGGATGATGAAGTCTTACTACTAGTAGTCATCATCAGTAACAGCAGTCTGGAACACACATGCAGCATGAAAAAATTCAGTCTGAGCAAGAAAAGCTTAGCAACTGAAAACAGGGTCTGACAATTGGAAGAGTAAGGCAACCTTAACAACAGGTGACAGTATCAAATCAACCTATAATGAATGTACTGTTAAAGTTGAGATTTCAAGGGTCAGAAAATTAAATCTGCCTACTGGTTATATAATTTCCTGATTCTGTCATACACACCACCTGAAAGGAACATCTCTGTTTTCTAAGTAAATATCACTGTTACATAGTTACTCTTCAGAATAGAGCTGCACTTTAAAGGTGAGATTTGAATAGAGATGTAGATATGCAGTATACTTAACATTGAAATGTCACCATCTCTGAGATGGAATGTAGCAGCAGTTTATAAACAAAGAGCATTTAAAACAGGAAGTGAAGAATAATGTGAAACTGTAGTGGAAGTTAACAGCGTGACACAGAGTGAAGTTAACAGGACTACTCAAAACAAGAAATTAACTATGACTATGAGAGACAATTACCATGGGCCTAGTTATCTCTATTTTCTTTATACCAAATACCACAATCTGAGAGAAATCTATTGAAAACTGGAAATTTTCTACACTTTCCACCAGATCAGTTTTCCTGCTATATTAAAAACTGAACTAAGAGAGTAATATTTGGACAATCCAGAATGTACAAGCTATTTGTTTTTTTAATTGATTTCAATGGAATTATACCAGGATTTTGCCCATTTGTTAGAAGACATAAACCCACTGATAGCACTTCCTAAAGCTGACATCAATTTGGCCTATATAAAAGACAATGCCTTTCTTGTATACATTATTGTCCTTTCCAGTCCACCTTATAGATCACTCTTCCCACTGCCATTCTCTACATTCATCTGGCACCCACCTGTGCTCTGTCCCTTCTCTCAAACTTTTCACATTTGGTGCAAAAACTCATTGGTATAGCTTCTGCCATCTGGAACAATCTTTCTGTAGTTATTTAATTTGTCTACTCTTCATCTATTTTCTAATATAATGTTATCACTTCTTTTCGGACTATGCCTGTTTATATCCTAACCTCTTTCATTGAACTTAGACACTGCATGATGTTGAATTAATAATTCTGTCACTGTTCTATGTTTGCAATTGCAAGCACAACAGAGCAGGGATCATGTCTTCTCTGTTTGGTATAGCATCAAGAACAAAGTCGACACTCAAATAGATAATTTATTCACATACTATTCTGTGTTTGGCTCTGCAAAGTGTCATGGGATATATAAACTACACAGAATAAAGTTGTATAGTACAACTGGATTGATCGTTAGCTAGGTGAAATCAAGCAAAATAATACTAAAGTGGATTGCTAAACCTACTGCTTAAGGAAATGCAGAAGAAATGCAAAACAAAGAAATTAGCATCCTCCATTTTAAGAACGCCTGGGGTAAATGTTTAGTCAATCCTCTGAATTATAGCGGTAGAGCTACATACAGCTAGTGAAACAAAAGCACCTGGGGTGCCATGACATTTTCTCATGACCCACAAACATAATTCAGACAGAAAGAGTAAAAATGTATCTTTAATCATAGGCAGTTGCAGACAATTTTAGGATACTAAGGCTGCATTCATGTGTGTCCTTCCTAAGAAAGCACATGCTAGGGCTTTTGCTTTTTCTTTCAGCTTCTGCTACAGACCACCTAGGTTTGTCATTACATGAAAAAGTTCCTTTAATTTCATTCTTTGGACTAGGTTTCCATCTCATCTTCAGCATTAGAAAAATACTCACTCATTCACATGTCAAAAGAATATTTCAACACCAAAACTGTATATTAAAGAGCAATAACATGAATTATGTTTCATCTTCTGTACTAATATTACCATGCTGTTTATACAGTTAGTGTATAATACTGCAATGATACATGATATCATCAGTATGGTGATGTGAAAACAGTTTCAATGTCTGTGATTGATAAAATGTGGTATTTAAACACTACAAAAGTTAATCTTTGTAATAATCTTCTGAAAAGTTCTTACATTAATTTAAAACATCAATCACTTTAATATTTAATCATTTGCAGACTTCATTTTAAATGAAGCTATCCATATCACTGAAAACACTTAATTTTTTTATGTTAATGATTGGCTGTATATACTTCATGTAATTCTCTTCTTTTTCTTATTTAGTAATACAGGGAACTTGATAGAAAATGAAACATTATTGGTAGAAAATGAAACATAGAACATGTTCAGACCTGAATTGTGCCAAAACTTATATATTTCTGTGGTTTCACAGTAGAAAACACAATCTTGTTTCTCAGGAATACGTATGTACTGTGATGTATATATGTTGGGTTTTTGTTGTGTTGGTTGCTGCGGGAGAGGGCTTGGGGACAAGGAAAGTTCCCTCCAACTCACTATTTACATGCCACTTTCTTTATACGACTCATTCAGATAACATTTTACATATACTATAAATACAAAACCAGGGCAGTCCTCTCTGGTACTTGCCATTATAATAATCCTTTCCCTAGAAATACTACTATTTGTAACAGTCAGCACCCTAATTTCAATAATAATTCATAAAGGCACTGCAAAATATGCTATTTTAAAAGGTTATTCTCTGTAGGAACTTCTGTTGCATAATAAACATTTTGAGTGGTTAATATGGAAAGATGCCCCAGACAACCAACCAAAAAACTTCCTAATTCCTTTTTAAAGTTTTGCCTTTAAATGAATTGAGGTTCAAAAGCAAAAGCATAGCAGATATACAACACAACATGCTGAAAGAAAACAGTTAATTTTATCCCAAGAATCCACAGATATGTCTCAAGATTAGGGAGACCAGATCTTCACTGAACTATTAAATACAAATAAAGTGAGTGAAATAATATCTTTTGACTCAACTTTTGGTGGTGACTCAAGCTCAATCTAAGTTTGAAAGCTTCTCTCCCTCATCAACAAAAGTTGGTCCAATACAAAAATATTACCTCATCCACCTTGTTTCTCCTATATTCTGGGACCAACACTGCATACTATTTAAATACAGTAAATCCTACAAGCTAGTCAACAATTATGGCCTCAGAAGGCTTTGTGGTATTGAAGATTAGTACACACCTCTTGTAGGGACATGTGCTCAAATACTGCCTTGGATCAACAGTTACTTTGATTCACTCTTCCTCAGCCATAATTCAAAGCTAACAAACAATCTGGCATGTTTTTCTTGAGAAGCTCCAAAATGAAAGAGCAAGAGCTTTAGTTCAGAACTGAGATAATTTGTCAGAGGAGTATGTAGGAATGTGCATGATACATGCCCTCAACTCTAGCTCAAATTATTAGTCTCCTATTTTCATAAGCATTAAATTCACTACATAATTTTTTTTATAAAGATATATGCCTTGCTTCAACAAGTTACAATTTGCCACCAGCAGTTTTGCAAAAAAAAGCTGTGGAGCAGCCAAAAACAATAAATTGTGATAAATGAATTAATGATTTGACGCCTGGTCTGCTCCCATCACAAGCACTTCATGAATAGTAGTATTTAAATACTGGGCTCTATGAAAACATATTTAACTTCTTTCCACCAAAAGATTACCAATTTCAGTAGTATTCTCTGTTTTAAAAAACAAATCTCTCTCAAAGTACTATATCCTTAAAGCACTTTAAATGTTTGAAGTTTTTGGTTTTCCACAGAGATATAGTCATTCAAGAGATTTCAAAGTCTAGTTTTCAGTAGCTTTGTTTCTACTGAGCAGGTTGGCATTAATAAATTAAAAGGCTAATAGAATTCACTATTTGGTAAGGAACAAGGACAGAAGGGGGAAATGGTCATTTCCCAGAAATGTAGACTAACAGTCCCAGCAGAACAATCAGTTGCCAGAGCAAGTGTTGTTCATCTGCCAGTTGCGTTCATATTTAATATACTGACCTGGGGCGGTGTTATATCTCTGAGGGCTCCACGTAGGCACAAACCATGTCCTCCTAGGAGGGTAAATTGTACTGATTCGCGATCAAACGCAACCATGCCAACCCCAGCGTCTGCCAAGGAGCGTCTTTGGGAACAAGCCCCCCACTGCCCCGCAGGCCGGGCCTAGCAGGTTTAGCACGGGCAGGTGAAGTGCCTGCGAACGAGCCCTCAGGGGTGGGGTCGGGGGGCAGCTAATCTCTCGCAAGCATCAGCGGCCACGTCCCCACCGCAGCCCGGCCGGGAAGAGCCGCGAGCAGCGCGGACGCCCCGCGCAGGGCAGCGCCCACACCTGCTGCCTGCCTGGGGCCGAGGGTGTGAGCGCAGAGAGCAGGCCGCGGGGCTGGGGTAACACCAGGGGGCGCGCTGCACCCCTAGGCAGCCTCGGCCCGATCTGTTCCCCGCCCCTCCCCCCGCGACTGGTATTGTTTCCGCCAGGCCCTTTCCCGCCCGGAACCAAGATGGCCGCCGCGGCCACAGCACCGCCGCGAGCAGAGAGCCTGGGCCAATCGCGGAGACGAGCGGTTCTGCTCCACCAATGAAGAGAAAGCAAAGGCGCAAGAAGGCGGGTCACCGCGAGTGACGATCCGCTAACGGCGGCGGGAGTCCCTGGGTCGGGTCTCCCCAGGTGAGGCGACAGGCCGGGGGAAGCAGCGTGACAACGGCAGCGGCTCCGTCACCCGCCCCGACGAGTGGGCGGCGGCTCGGTACCTCCTGGGCCGAGCGGGGAAGCTCCGCCTCCTCCGGCCTCCCGTCGTCGCTGCCCAGCCACGGGCGAGCCCAGCCGCCTGCGAGGGGAGCCCCCGGGCCAGCCGCGCCCCCGCCAGCAGACGGAGCTAGACGGGAGGTGCGGGCTCTTGTCTCCCGTTGGGGCTCCCCGGGCTCTCCAGGGTCCTGCCTCTGAACGTGCAGCTGCGCCTTTCCGAGCTCCCTAGAAAACGCGGCCTCTTTGTGCATTAGGTGGGTCAGTGCTCTGCAGTTTCACCTCGTTGTAAAGTATCTTGCCGCTAGCTGCCTGAGCAGCGCTCCTGCCTGCCGCCGGCGGTGCCTGCTTGAGAGGCATCATCGCTGGTTCTTTTAAAATCTAGAAAATCGCTATTTTCATGGCCGTCCAAAAGATTTTTGGTGTCCAGTTAGTTCAAAGTCATCCGTATTTTTCTTTGCCATCAATAAGGACTTTAGCATGCTCCTGGTGGGAGGTATGTGTCTGTAGTATGTGTTCCTAAAAACTGCATAGAACAGAATTACAGCCTCCCCATTTTCCACCCACACACAGGTCAACATAATCAAGATACCTGTTTCATCCAAATGTTAATTGAGATTCTGGCAACACAAATTAGGACTATCATAATTATGCCAGTTACTCTTTTTTTATTGGTATAGTGCAAACTAGGCTTTTGTGCAAGAGCATCCATGGAAGTGGGGATGCTCTTTTGTGCAGGAAAGCTCTGATGGCTATTTTAGCCATAGGGCTTTCTTGCACAAGAAGTCCCTGCTGCGCATCCACGCTGCCCTCTTGCGCAAGAGCTCCTGCGTGAGAGGGCTTACACCTGTTAGCAAAGAGCATAGGTCTTGTGCAAAAAGCCCTATCTTCTGACTCCGTACTATAAATCTTCTTGCACAAGAGCAGGCAGGCAGTGTGGATGCACTGCAGAAGAACAGCCTTTTTTACGGCAAGAACCCACCAGCGTAGACATAGCCAAACAGTCTCTGCTCACCCCATGTTTCCCCACTGCGCTTCAGCCTTTGAAATGGGCTCTTGTTACATTCAAAGGCAGAAGTGGAGCAGTCAGAACCAGGGTATTCCTGTTCATGCCATTTCCCTGCTGTGCCTCTGCCTCTCCTCCCCCTGCCCCCCCAGCAACTGTACTGGGGGAAGCCGTCTTAAAGCAGGTTGCCCCCCCAGCACCGGTTTGTACTTTCTCCCCCCCCCCCCCTTGCTGCCTCTCTCTGATTGAAGCAGCAAGGGAGGGGGAGCAACTAGTCAACTCACTACTCAACTACCCGATAAGCAGGGGTGGTGAGTTGTATGAGTCAGTGGTGCCAAAGGTACCAGAATATTCCTGGCCCCTGGGGCCCTGGTTGAACAAAGTCAGGTCTGGGTCTGGGTCTCTCCTCTGGCTCTGCCTGCTGCCTTTGCACATCCCCTGTGATCCCAAGGTGATTTGAGCCAGGGGGTCCCTGCCTCCACGATTGCCAACACTGTGGGTGCTGCTAATGTGGCTTTCTGCCCATTTTCTCCATATGGCTGTCCACATGGCCCTGGGAGGGAGGTGTGTCACTGCATGCTGCTCCTGTGCTGAAAGCCCTGCAGCTAATGGGAAGCTGCAGGGGCAGTGCCTGCAGGCTACATTGTGCATTCCTGCCCATCCCCCAAACTCCCTCCTCCTGGCCCCAAAATCTCTCCCAGAGGTTGCACCCCTCACCCCCTTCTGGATCCCAAACCATGTCCCAGCCCAGAGCCTGCACCCAGACCACCCCTACAACATCCATATTCCAAGACCCCTCATCCTTTCTGTACCTCAACTCCCTCCCAAAGCCTGCACCCAAACTGCATCCCAGGTGCCCATCCCCCAAACTCCCTCCTCCTGGCCCCAAAATCTCTCCCAGAGGTTGCACCCCTCACCCCCTTCTGGATCCCAAACCATGTCCCAGCCCAGAGCCTGCACCCAGACCACCCCTACAACATCCATATTCCAAGACCCCTCATCCTTTCTGTACCTCAACTCCCTCCCAAAGCCTGCACCCAAACTGCATCCCAGGACCTTAGGCAGGTGGTGGGGAAAGGAGTTTTACTGTGGGAAGGGGTGAGGCTCTGGGCACCACCAAAATTTTTACAAATTTGCTCACCGCTAGTCTTTTTCAAACATGCATTTGTTTTGACATAAAGAGCACCCACACTCAGTCTCTGAGCCTATACCAGTTACTCAAAATTACAAAAACAAATGCACAGTTCAGTCAACTCATAATCCAGCTCTACCACTCCTGTACATCGACCTATACTTCAGTCTCTTCCACACAAACAATCAAAAGAACTTTCAATATAAGCACTGTATGCAAATATGGTAGGAAATGGGCTATATTGAAAAATGACATTTTTGATCAATGTTTATATGTTCAGACTCAATGTTCACAATGAGATTCTCTTCTGTCCTTAGAATCTATGACTCTGCTGCTAGTATTAGAAATGAATTTCATAACTTTCATATGTTTAAAATTTTCTCTACAATATTTCTTTACTTGTTTTCCATTTAATATCCTTATCTGATAAAGAACAATGAGTGCACATTTAAAGTAAAAATATTTTAATATTTGAGACTCAGTTAAGCCCAAAAAATGTTTGTGCAATTGCACATTCAAGTACAGTATGTATGTATAGTACATGGGGTCATAGTCAAATATACTGTATGTTTACTTGATTATTAAACACTGAAACAAACAGAAAATAAGCCTGTATAGGTATCTGAAGCCAGATACCTTGTTACACAGTTCTGAGTTATCTGAAATGTTGCTAAACACATTTTGTATGAACAAACAGCTAAATTGTGTTGAACATCAATTTAGCTGCACCTATTTGTGATGCTCATTTTTACCAAGTCTTATTTTTTCCCATTGTAAACAAACCTTTTGTGTTCCCAGCAACTTCAAAATAAAAGTTTGCTTTTATCTTACTATATCTATGTTATATCTCCATTGGGAGGAACTTACGTTACCCATTGACAGTTTTTTCATCTTCAGTTTTTTCTTCTTTATATTGTCTCTATTCTTCAAATTTTGTTTGGTGAAACAGGAGCTTATAATATTAAAATATTTAAGATTTTTGGATGAGAAGAATAGCGTGAGTCTTCCAATATATTTTATACGTCATGCAGGCTGGTGGGAATCTGTGTGTCCAGGATCAACAGAAGTGGTCCCTATTCTGTCTCTTTAACATTTAACGGACAACATTTTTGAAAACGTATTCTGCACTGATACCATATCAGTATTAATCTATAAAAAGGCAAGAATACTGTCACTGAGGCTACGTCTAGACGACAAGCCTTTTTCAAAAGAATCTTTCGAAAAAGCCTCTTTCAAAAGAGAGCGTCTAGACTGCAACGTTTTGTTTGTTTGGTTTTTTTTGAAAAAGCAAGCCGCTTTTTCGAAAGAGAGAACCCAGACAGTCTGGATGCTCTCTTTCAAAAAAGCCCTGTTTGCATTCAAGAACACCTTTTTTCAAAAGAGCACTTTTGAAAAAAGGTGTTCTTCCTCATAAAACGAGGTTTACCTCTGTCAAAAAATCCGCTGGGTTCTTTCTGTTTAATTTTTAAAGAACTTGGCAGCAGTCTAGATGCAGGGGAAGTTTTTTTGAAAAAAGGCCACTTTTTTCAAAAAACCTCTGGAGTCTAGACGCACCCGGAGGGTGCATCTCCACTGCAGGCTAAAGTCAATTTAAGATACGCAACTTCAGCTACACTCTTCCTTTGACTTCCCTTACTCCTCGTGAAATGAGGGTTACAGAAGTGAGATTAAGAAGCCCATGATTTTGAAATTATTTCAAAATCATGGGCTTGCTGTGTAGACACGCACTCTGTTCTTTCAAAATAACATGATTTATTTTGAAATAAGAGTGCAGTGTAGAGCGAGTCTGAGTTTCACAGCAAACAACAGTTTTGATGCCACACACAAGAATAGCTTTTAAATTTGCAGATTTGTTACTGAAGAAATCTATAATTTGTGCTTCATCCCAGAAAACTGTCGTAGGTCAGATCTATTTTAAAACACACACTTTCAATCCTGATTAGGAATAAGATAAAGTACCAGCAGGGTGATATTCTACTACTAAAAAATGCATGTGTTATCCTAACTCCCTAACAGCATAATTACCATCACTGTTTAAATCCTTGTGCTTTTTTACTTTTGTTTCTAAGAGTAGGTTGGCTGTGCAGGACTTGCTATTTTAGTGATGATGAAAAATTCTATATTGATACCCCTAGAAACTGAAATCTTATATCTTATACGTATAACATGGACAGTGTAGACAATTAGAGAACAAGTTTCTCTACCCCACCCCAATCCGCCAATGCTTCTCATCCCTGATCTGGAGGGTAAAGGTAATTCAGACGCTGTACCCTTTTATTTCCTATCCCCATCTCAGAGTCCCAACAGGATGACAGTCGTGATAGATGATGGTTTTGTGACATGAACACCTGTCTATTGGGAGCTATACAGGGACAATTCATTTCACACAGGCCACTGAAAACCATCAGATGGTAATGACTTTCAGTCACTATTGACCTGGGCCAATTTGAATTGGTGATCTAGGGGTGAAAGGCTCCATTTTCCATTACCAGTTTTCTGAGCCATCAAGTCTACTCCATTCCACCCCCACTACTTCTGTACTGATATACTTTATAGCATTTTTCTAAATGCTGTAGTCCATACAGATGTCTGATGTCATTTGTTGATATAGTCAATCAGTGCTACATTAAATGTTACCTTTCAGTTTACTCTTAATTGTATAAAGTATATGTGGTGGTTTCATTATTTATATTACTGTGCATTAAATTATGCATTCCAGATTAAAAGAATAAAAGGCTTGTTTACATTATTATTACTGCTCTGGCATCAACTTTTGGATTTCTGTGTAGAGAAATTAATCTCCTTTCAGAGGGAGGATATGAGGAATGACAAGCACTAGCTCCTGCTGCCT